TAGAGAAGCCCGAGATTAAAAAGGATTAAGACTGAGACAACTTGAACGACAGTGTTTGCCTAGAATGAACAAGGCCCTAGGGATCAATTATCAGCATCCCAAACCAAACCAACAACAACTTGTTTAGAATCCCATGGCTGGTGAAAAGCTAGGAACTGCTCCCACTTTACCATCCTGCCTTCCAGTACACTACTGTTAAAAAAAACAATTTCAGCCCAGTGAGATGGTTTAGTGGATAAAGGTGCTTGTCACCAAGTTTGAAGACCCGAGTTTGATCCCTGGGACCCACTTGGTGGAAGGAGTGAAATGACTCTTGTGGGTTGTCCTCTGGGCTTCATATATACATGCACCATGGTGCCCCCCGATAAATGTAGTAATAATAAAGCCAATACCATTCCTTCATGGTCTTTGAAGGACTACCCAACCAGTTATGTATGAGCTTTCCCTCTTAGGGACACCATGTACGCCACTTTGCCAGTAATCATCAGTAACTCAGAGTTTCAAGGAGTGCACTCTTACAGTGTACCACGCCTTGCTATTTTACGTATGGGTTAATTATCCCAACACTCCTAGTTTAAAAAAAAATTGTGTGCACACACATGACACACCACATGTGAAAATCAGAGGGCAATTAGTGGGAGTTGGTCCTCTTCGACCATGTGGCTCTCAGAAAGAACTTGGGTTGTCTCCTCAGGCTTTCAACAGGCGCAGTTACCTGATGAGCCATCTGGCTGGCCCCTACTGCTGTTTTTTTTGTTGTTGTTGTTGTTTATTGTATTCGGTATAGCTCAGCAGGCGGAAACACCATGGAAGGCTGAAGCATTTATCACAGCCTTCTGTCCTCTGTCCCCAGAAGTCTGCTTCAACTATTCAGTGGAGAACTAGTGGGTCTGAGAACATTTATAAAGTTTAAGTGTGGGTCCCTTGAGGGAGGGAAAGGCCTGATACTGAATTCCAGTATCAGGCCCTGGAAACAAGGTGAGGCTGTTTCCATTTTCACCTCCTTTGTTTCTTGCTAAAGGTCACTCCCACCAGTCTTTCTGACGCCAGGAGGGTGGGGCCCCAGATTGAGTAGAGTAGGTCCAATTCTGGGTCCTGTCCTCACCTAATCTCTGGCTCTGTTACTCTGGACATAAATGCAACCCCGGTGAATTTCCCATGGAAAGTGGCATTTCTAGGGAGTACGCCATTCTTCTGGCTGCCCTTATGAGGCAGAGGTGTGCTAAATTCCCTGTCACTGGGGGGGGGGGGGGGGGGGGGGGAGAGTGGGGGGGGGGGGGGGAGGGGGGGAGTGTTAGTCTGGTTTCTCTCACACCCTTCCTTGGTCACACTGTTCTTTGCCCTCCTTTCCATCACCGTCCGCTACCCCTCTTTGGTGTGTTACTATCAGAATCTCTTTGAAAACAGTCTTAAGGACTGTGTTAAGGTGGTCCCATTCAGAATACTTTGTTTTTTCTGGTCTTTTTGAGACAGGGTCTCCCTGTAGCCCCAGGTGGCCTGAACTATGTAGACCAGGCTGGCCTTGAACTCAAGAGAGACCCACTGGCCTCTGCCTCCAAGTGCTGGGACTACAGGCGTGTACCACTACGCCCAGCTCAGAATAGAGTTCTTTTAAAAAATATATTTTAGGGGCTAGAGAGATGGCTCAGCAGTTAAGAACACCGGTTGTTCTTGTAGAAGACCCAGGTTCAAATCCCAGCACCCACATGGCAGCTAACTGTCCGTAACTCCAGTCCCAGGGGATCAGATAGCCTTCCTGACCTCCTTGAGGGGTACACTTACCTACATGCAGGCAATACACGCACACATCAGAAGAGGGCATATGGTTGCTGTCATGTGCATGCTGGAACTGAACCCTGGTCTTATGCAAGAGCAGCCAGTACTCTTAACCATCTCTCCAGCCCCACAATAGAGGTTTTAATATAAAATGTGCTTGCTTGGTTCCTGTCACTCATGAAACATGACCGACAACAGCAGTCCAGATGTGTTATGTGCAGACTTACTAACACTGCTATACCCTCACCCTCACAGGAACCATTACGTGGACACAGCTGATTGGAAGGTAACGTTCTCATTTGCCAATGTTCTCATAAGGCCAATGAGATGGTTGAGCAGGTAAAGGTGCTTGCCACTGAGCCTGACAATCTGGATCTCATCCCTGGGATCCACATGGTAGGAGAACCAATTTTTGCAGGCCAGTCTCTGACTTGCACTGTTTCAGCAGGCACACAAATAAATATATTAGAAAAAAGCATTCCCTAGTCCCATCTGTGTTATGCTGAGATTAGGCTTTTGCTTGCTGCAACTTCCCAGCACCCACACTGAGCAGCTCACAATCACCTGTAACTCCACCTCCAGATCATCCAACACTACCTCTGGCTTACATGGTCCCCCAAATGCACATACAGATATATGCGCAAAGAGTTTTTTGAAAGGGAGAAAAATAAATTATGTGCTTTTAGGTTAGTCTAAATCTTTGAAACAAAACACTCTATGTCTATATTTAAGGGGCTGGAGAGATAGCTCAGTGGTTTAAGAGCACTGGCTGCTCATGCAGAGGACCCGGGTTCAATTCCCAGCACCCACATGGCAGCTAACAACTGTCAGTAACTCCAGTTCCAGAGGAACCCAACCCCCTCTTCTGAATTTGTAGGAATTGCATGACATGGGTACACTTACATGCTGGCAATACACTCATACACATAAAACAAAAATAAAATTAAATATATATTAAAAAGACACCCAAACAGTTCCTGGGCCACTCAAGAAGCAGCCCGAAGGATCCTATGCAATCTACAAGGATGTTTTAGAGGCACCACAGATCACTTTCAAGAAACCCTAGGGTCCAGCTAGGCATAGTGGTGGACACTTAAATTCCAGAACCTTGGAGGTACAGGTAGAAGGATCTCAGCTCACTCTTAGCTACAGAGCAAGTTCAAGGCCAGCACAGGCTACATGAGACCCTGTTTTAACCTTTAATCCTACCACTTGGGAGGTAGAGGTTGGCCAGGGTTACACAGTAAGAACTTGTTATATATATACATATAAAAGTCACCACATAGACAACAATACATGCATATACATAAAATAAAAATAAAATATTTAGCTGGGCATGGTGGTGCATGCCTTTAATCCCAGCACTGGGGAGGCAGAGGCAGGTGGATCTCTGTGCGTTCAAGGCCAGCCTGGTCTACATAGTGAGTTCCAGGACAGCTGGGGCTACAGAGAGACCCTGTCTCAAAAAGACCAAAAAATAAAATATTTTTTTTTAAAAGTCATGTAAAAGTGTATTAGGATCGTAATTCATAGACCTCTGGTACCTTCAGAAAGACATCTTTGCTGTGTGGTAGCCACTGATGATCCAGAATATTGTCGAGCATGCCTAGCCTCGCTCGATTCACTCCATCACTCAGAAGCAAGGGCTCTCCTTAAGCTTGCTCCACTATGAGAGGCTTACTCTGGCTCAGTGAGTACAAACATTGGGCCTTTATCCACAGAGGGATGGACTATACCTTTATATTTTTATTTGGTTTACTAGCTGCTTAATTTTAAGTAATGCATAATCATGAACCAGTAAAAATAACGTGGAATTTCAAAACATGTCTGAGTCCAGCTCTGAAACTACTGGGGTGAGTTACATGAACCCTATTTTATTTCTAAAATATAGATACCTTAAAAAATTAAGAAAATTTGGGCTGGAGAGATGACTCAGCAGTTAAGAACACTGGTTGTTCTTGCAGAAGAACCGAGTTTAAATTACAGCACCCACATGGCAGCTAACAACTGTAAGTCCAGTTCCAGGGGATCAGACAGCCTCTTCTGTCCTCCATGGGCACTGCATCATACAGGTGCACTTACCTACATGCAGGCAATACACATATAAAATACTTTTTAAAAAAATTAAGAAAACTTACACAAGCTTGTCAGATACTACTTTTCATGCAGTGAGTGCTCTTAATTGCTGAGCACCCTGTTTTCTCTATGAAGCCCAATGAGGAACTGGGCATGGTGGAATATACTTGTCATCCAGCACTTGGGAGGTTGAGGATTGCCACAAATCTTAGGCCAGCCTGGGCTAAAAAGCCAGACCCTGAGGTCTCTACTGAACTAAACTAGGTCATTTGTAAATTGGGTTTGGGGGCTCATGCCTGTAATAACAATACCTGGGAGGCAGAGGCAAGATGTTCACAAAGTCAAGGACAATCTTAGCTACAATAAAAACCTGTCTCAAAACATAAACCAAAACACAGGCCTAGAAAAACAGCTTGTGTTATGAGAGGGTCTCCCCGTAGCCCTAGCTGGCCTGCAACTTGCTATGTAGACCATTCTGACCTCAACCTCAGAGATCTACCTGTCTCTGCACCCAAGTGCTGGGATTAAAGGTGTGTGACACCACAACAGACCCTTTAATGCTTTTTGAGACATTATCACACTGTAGTCCAGGCTGGCCTGGAACTTCTAGTAATTTTCCTGTCTCAGCCTTCTGAGAATTTTATGGTAAAGCTTGTAATAAACCTTATGAAGAACTGTAGGGTTATAGGATCCCCAATGAACCTGCAGATGAATTAAGCAGGACTGAAATGACTGCATTGGTATTTGTTTTTTAAGACAGAGACTCATGTAGTCTAGGCTGGCCTCAAACTTGCAATGTAACTGAGGATGATCTCCAACTCCTGATTCTCCTGCATCCACCTCCCAGGTGCTGAGACTACAGGTGTGTTCCATCCTCCCCCCACCCCCCCACCCCCTGCTTTCTCCTGATCCTGTAGACAGATTCCAGGCAACAGCTCCACCACTAAGCCACACCCTAGCCCTATACATAAGACTTATTTTCACTGAGCTATTCCAGACTATAGTGAAATTATAGCAAAGCTTAAAATGTACAGGCAAAACTGAAGTCCTGCTGCCCTCTGGTGGTGGACTGGTTATCACAACAAGACATGCTTCTCAGCTAGATCAGACAGGTGTGTATGTGCACAGAAGCCACAGGATAAACATGGTGCATTTTCCTGTATCACCTTTACTTGACGACTTTTTGGGAGAGAAAGAGTAGGTAATGCAAAACATTTTTTATATTAAAACAAATGCAGATTAATTTTGAATAGAATATAAAATTTACATTACTTTTTGAGACAAAGTAATTTTTGACAAAGACATTTCAAGCTAAACTACTCATGAGCTTCAGGTTGTATCCCTAAACCCTGAGGGAGAGAGAGAAGATCCTGCATGCTCACATTATCTAATATCATGGCCTCTGCCACTTTGAGAGGTCTAAAAGCAGCAAATTAAGTGATTATTCACTTGGCAAAGTACCGGTGAATTATTTGTGAAACCATAGGCTTTCTTATTAAGAGCATTTTAACCTGCTGTTAAAAGGCCTGAGTAAATAGGAGCTGTATGCTTGAGTTCAAAATTTTGTTCTAATGTGACTTTTCCTCCAGTATGTGTTTTTAACATGCCTAACTGAGGGGATGACATGCAGAGGTGAGCAGTATCCTACGAACCATGTGGATTTCAGTCCACATTACCAGATACAGAGTTAAAAATATACTTTCAAGGGTGTCATCAGGAATTAAAGCCAAACTACTCACCTTCCGAAACAATAAAAAGGAAACAAAACTTAGGAACAAAAGATGGTGCACAATGGGAACCATGCTGATGACAGTGCACAATGGGAGCCATGCTGAAGACAGTGCACAATGGGAACCATGTTGGAGATGGGTTTTAGGGATCAGTCCATGCTTAGCATGTCAAGAAGGGGGCTACTGTTGTCGCAATATTTGTTTTTCATGTCTTGTATGAAATCAAGAGTTTCTTTTGAGTGAAAAGGCCACCATACTTCCTTCAAATCTTGCTTAAGCTTCTAGAACTGTCCTTTTTCTGTGTTGTAGGTGACAATATTCCTCTATGTAAGAGAAGGTGTAGGAGCCTCTGTAGAGATCTAGAGTAACTCAGCAAAATACTGTCCTTGAGGAATCTGAGCAATGAATTAGCTGTTGAGAAGCACACAGTGGGAGGCAGACCAGCAGATACTGCTCTTTCTAGGTCTACTTAAGAGGAGGTCATTCAGAGATTCCTACACAGTATGCCTTTTTACCTTTCTTAAGTTCCACAGAATTATTTCTCATGTAGGTATTCTGCTCTTCATTACACAAAGCCCTAAAGTGAGACTCAAATCTACAAAACAATCTGCTTTTTTCCTATAGGAAAATACTTTTCTTCCGTTTAAGTAAAACAAGAATCTGGAGAAAAAAATGTCCCATTTCGGAATAACCAAAGGGGAATTCCAAGGTAAATGATGTTGTGCTAGGAAAAAGAAAAAAAGGCAGACACCAATCACCTCCATTTTCCCAAGATTAAATGATTATTAAAAAAAGCGCGCCACACTGTATAGAAATCAACATTCTCTCCCATAATTCTGTGCATTGGGATTATAGAAATATCACTGTCCCTGCCCCACATCTTCAAATTAACATCCTCAGGTCACAACAGTAAGTCTTCCCAAAGGGGACCTTCCGGAAAAACAAGCTATTTCCTCGGCTCATATTTCCCTGGAAAAAAAGAAACAGAAATAGTCTAGTATGAAGATGTGGCCAGAGAATCCAAATCAGCAGACTCATAATCAGACATGTTTCTGGGAGACATGACTAAAATGACTAGGACAAAACTGGAACCATCATAATCAACAGCGATTTTTATTCTCTGGTAACCAAAACTATTGAAGAACTAACTGTAAGTTCTCCTCATCAACAAGGCAAGATTTAAAAAAAAGAAAAAAAAAGGAATGTTCAGTTTGTAGCCCTGGCTAGCCTAAAACTATTTAGATCAGGCTAGCCTTGGACTTAGTAGTTCTACCTCTGCCTCCTGTGTGCTGGAATTACAGGCATGTACCACCATAACCAGCTAAAATGGATATGCTTCTAAGAACTAAAAATCTTGCAATGTGACAGATGCGGTGGCACATGCCTTTAATTCCAACATCTGGGAGGCAGAGGCATGAGAATCTGAGTTCAATGCCAGTCAGGGCTAGATAGTGAGACCTTGTATTAAAAAAAAAAAAAAATCTTGCATGCTGGGCTTTGTGGCACACATCTTTAATCCACTTAGGAGGCAGAGGCAGAGGCAGACAAGGATAGCCTGGTCTACGTAGTGACTTACAGGCTAGCTTGGGTTACAGGGAGACCCTGTCTCAAAAATAAATAAATAAATAGTAACAATGTTCTGAGCTGGGTGTGGTGGCAAATGCCTGTAATCCCAGTACCTGGGAGGTGGAGGTAAGAGGATCAGGAGTTCAAGGCCAATCTCAACTATACAGTTAGTTCCAGGTCAGCATGGGCTACATAAGACCTTGTCTCTGAAGAAGAAGAAAAAAAAAAAAAAAACCCACAAAAATCAGAGACAGAGAGAGAGAGATGAGCGCAGAAGGTGAGTTAGAGGGAGGGAATAATGGATAGACATGATCAAGACACAGGTATAAATGTACAAAACATATACATGGGCTGGAGAGACGGCACAGCAGTTAAGAGCACCAGCTGCTCTTGCAGAGGACTGGAGTTTGATTCCCAGCACCTGCATGTCAGCTAACAACCGTTCTAATCCAGTTCCAGGGGATCTGATGCCCTATTCTAACTTCCAGGGGCGCTGCATGACATGGGTGTACTTACTTACATACATGCAGGTAACACACTCATACACATAAAAATAATAAAATATTTGGCCAGGCCTGGTGGCACACACCTTTAATCCCAGCACTTGGGAGGCAGAGGCAGGCGGGTCTTTGTGAGTTAAGAGACCAGCCTGGTCTATATAGTGAGTTCCAGGATGGACAGCTGGGGCTACAAGGAGACCCCCGTCTCAAAAAGACAAAAACAAACAAACAAATAAATAAATAAATAATAAATAAATAAATGAAATATTAAATAAAATATATACATATATTTTTTTCGGTTGAGTCTGGATCTCCCCGTAGCCCCAGCTGGCCTGGAACTCCTATGTAGAGCAGGCTGGCTTTGGTCTCATAGATATCTGCTTGCCTCTGCCTCCTGAGTGCTAGGATTAAAGGCCCGTACCACCATGCTTGTCCTCCCCGCCAATTTTTTTTTCAGTCTTTTTGAGACAGGGTCTCCCTGTAGCTCCAGCTGCCTGGAACTCACTCTGTAGACCAGGCTGGCCTTGAACTCACAAAGGATCTGCCTGTCTCTGCCTCCTGAGTGCTGGGATTAAAGGAGTGTGCCACCATGCCCGTCCCGAAATGTATTTTTTAAAAAAGGAAAAGAATAAGAATGGTGTGATGTTGAGATCAAAGCCAGTCTGGTCTACATAGCGAATTCCAAGTCAGCAGGAGTGGGGTGGGGGTGAGGGATGGGGGTGGGGTGTTCTGGGAGACCCTGTTTCTAAAAGACAAAAGCAAAAACAAAACAACTACAGCAACAACAAAAAAAACATTTTGAGTATTTCTTCCTTGGAGCCTTTGGGAGTTCTTTCTTTTCCTTAATAAATTTATATTTGCTCTGCTTAAAAAAAAAAAAAAAAGGTCTGAGTACACATAAGAAGACTTTAACTTGCATTTAATCCTCACGCATAGGCTAAGTGATCTTGGGTTACAGAACTGACATTAAATTCTTCTCAGCCCTAACTTCTTCATATGAGAAATAGAACTGTAAAGAACAGTAAGCCTATCCTCATAGGATTATTTTAGAATATCATGGAAAACTCTTAGCATGATATCTGATACACAGCACATGACTAATCCAGATTTGTTATTTTCTTAAGCACCCACAGGATTAACTGTTCCCGGAGTAAGGTTTGTCTGACTCCTTAATTCATTTTCTATGTACTTTTCTCCTAAAACAGGGGGGTTATAGTTAAAAGTGGAAAATGAAAAGCTGTTTTCCTGCTGGGTGTAGTGGCACATGCCTTTAATCATAGCACTAGGGAGGCAGAGGCAGGTGGATCTCTTGTGAGTTCAAGGCCAGCCTGGTCTACATAGTGAGTTCCAAGACAGCTGGGACTTCAGGGAGATACTGTTTCAAAAAGACAAAAAACAAACAACAACAACAACAACAAAACACAAAAAAACGCCACCCAAAACAAAAAACTGTTTTCCCTTTAAATAGAGACCACACTAAGAGACTGCCCTGTAAGAGTGGAAAATTTGGTCTGGAGAAGAATTGGGGCTATAGCTCAGATGTGCAAGGCCCTGGGTTCAATCACCAACACCACAAAAAGAAACTGAAACACAGGTATGGGGATGTAGCTGTGGCAGAGCACTTGCCTGGCATTTGGAAGGCTCTGAGTTTGATCTCTGGCACTGCTAGGAAACCAAACCAAACCAAATCCAAAAAAGGATAAAATTCAGACTGAAACCCACAAACATTCACGCTGTTTATACTGAATTCATTCAAAGACTCTTGCTTGGATTTAGAGTGGTAAGGTTGGTATGAACAGCAAGCAAAAGTAATCATAGCAACAACTGGGCCTTTTCATTCAGACTCCAGTCTGGGGAAACCCCAGCTCTATGAACAAAGGCTATTCTCATCTGTATCCTGGTCCTAAGAAGTAATACAACAAAGAGCTTCTGTATATACTGTCTCCTGCAACCCTGCAAAAATCTTTGCCACTCAAAACCATCTTTAAACTGATGGCCATTTTAAGTGATTGCATGCTAAAGACAGTCTATAATCCATCCATTATTTTAATTTTTTTTTTTTTAAATTATTTTTATTTTATGTGTATGTGTATTGCCTGCATGTAGGTAAGTGTACCCGTGTCATGCAATGCCCACAGAGGACAGAAGAGGCCGCCTGATCCCCTGGAACTGGAGTTATGGACAGTTGATAGGCTGCCACGTGGGTTCTGGGATTCGAACCTGGGTCTTCTGCAAGCACAACCAGTGTTCTTAACCACTGAGCCATCTCTCCAGCCCTCATTATTTTAATTTCTAATAGAACTTCATCTAGACTGATTATAAAAAAGCATGTTATTTAAATCTTTAAATATCACTATTGACAAAAATTTGTCATGAACTAATAATTTCATTTTGGTCTTCACATCTAACTGTGGGCAAATAAATACACAAGAGGTTGTGAGGAGTTACAAAAAGCAAGTTTGCCAGGAATGGTGGCACATGCCTTTAATCCCATCACAGAGGCAGGCAGATCTTAGTGAGCTCGAGGCCAGCCTTGTCTACAAAGCAAGCTCCAGGCCAGCTGGGGCTACAGGGAGACCCTTACTCACGAACAAAAAAAAAAACAAGTTTGAAGTTTGACAGACTAGAGTAAACAGAGCATGCATTTAGCTTATATTGAGGCCCTGGAGTTCAATTCTCAAAACCAAAATAAAGGTGAGCTAAAAGAGCCTGAAATCTGGCCATTTATATATCTAGGAGAATTACCTACCTGGATCCTATTTGTAACTTGATCACTCAAATGGCTCTGGTTAACATCCAGGATTCTTACTTCCTTATCCCAGCCAGTGACTTCTAAGTATCACATTTTGCCACTACACTATAGTGATACATACTGGAAAGACTACACTACTGAGCAGTTTAAGAGTGAGCTACAAGAGTTAATGCCAAGGATTCAGGACAAAGTGTTTAAGAAAACAAATACAAAATGAGAGAGAAAAAAATACCGCTTTTTGTAGTATGCACCAGCAATCTATCCATGAAGTATATATTGGGGAGTAAGGAGGAGATCCACCAGCAAGTCTGAAACAGAAAGATCAGCTATTCATACTAATATTTACAGTCTCTCAAGAAATTGATAAACTTTCAACAAAATAATTTCCTACACAGAAGTTCCCTGAGAAGCAGTTCTAGTTTTAGCTGGATAAAGTATACTAGAGAAAGGAAAAGGTCAAGCATCCTATAGTTATGATTTCAAATCAACAAATAAGAACTTTAATCTTATTTTCTATATTTAGATTTTAAAAAAATTAATTTTATACATGTGTATAATGTATTCTAGTATTTTCTTCCCAACACCCTTTTTCATCCCCTGCCAACTTCTATTACACCTGCCCCTTCCCAGATCATGACTTTTGGTTTGGTTTTGTGATACAATTAAATTCATTTTTAAGTTTGCAGGAGGTTAAAACATGGCATTGCTCTAAGCCTTAGAAAACAAACAGAAGGTACCATGATGGTCAAATTATGTTCAAAACTCCATGCAGCTATTTCATTTACTGTTTGAAAATGGTAGGTGGGGATGGAGACATGGTGTAGCAGTTAAGAGCCCTTGCTGCTCTTACAGAGGACCAGGGTTTGGTTCCTAGTACCCATATAATGTCTCACAACCACCTGCAACTCCAATTCCAGGGGATCTGATGATCTCTTATGGCCACTTACATCTTGCACATAAACTCACACAGGCACAAACATACATATGCATAACAATTTTTTTTAAAAAAATATAAATTGATCTTGCATTAAAACAACAACTAGGAATCTAATAATTGCATCAACTATACTTTTTCTTTCCTAAATTTTTACCACGATTGATCTGCCTATCATACTTATAGGCAACCAACTACTAAGATAAGACTTGCAAAGAATTGGGGCTGTAACTCACTGGTAGACTACTTGCCTTATATGTGAGGTCTTGGGTTCAGATCCCTGTAACTGCAAAAGTAAATGCCTCTGACCTCTTCAGGCACATATGTACAAACCCACACACATACATACATTGAATAAAAACAAACAAAAAAACCATACAATTCAACAGTGAGGACCCACTGTACTCATGCACAGATCCTGGGAGGCTTGGTAGCTCACTTTTTAATCCCAGCATTAGGCAAGCAGCAACAGAGGATCCCCAGGTAAGCTGTCTACCTAGACGAGCAGTGAGCTCTGGGTTCAGTGTGACATCCTGCCTCAGTAAATAAAGTGGAGAACAATCAAAGACACCGGCTATCAACTTTTGGCCTCTACATGCACACACGTGCACACACACCTACACACACAAGCCAAAAACCAGAAAAGAGAAAAAACATACAAAGTACTTACCCACAGTTGTTGACAGCCATAAGATTAGATACAAGCACAAAGGGATATGTCAACATACTGGCAAAGAACTGCAAAACAGTAAAAAGAGCTGAGTCGTTTTGGCATTCCTAATCATTTTATGTGCTTGCTTCCTCTCCTCACCAACAATCAAATATTCCAACACCATTCTTGCTTTCTCAGTACTCTGAAGGACTATCATACCCTGCTGAGTCTAGAGATGCTTCTTTGTCACAGAACACTATGCAACATTTAACAAAAGGCCAGAAAACTCTTCTAATCCTGGGACTGAATTATTATAAAAAACTGAACTACAGCCAGGCATGGTGGTGCATGCCTTTAGTCCCAGCACTTGGGAGGCAGAGACAGGTGGATCTCTGTGAGTTCAAGGCCAGCCTGATCTACACAGTGAGTTCCAGGCCAGCTGGGGCTATAGGGAGACCCATCTCCTATCTCTCTCAATTCCTCCCCCAAGTAGTGACACCGCCCCCTGCCGCTTGTTTTTTAAAATAAGACATCTTTAGCTGGGTGTGGTGATACACACCTTTAATCCTAGCACTGGGGAGGCAGAGGCAGGCGGATCTTTGAGATCAAGGCCAACCTGGTTTACACAGTAAATTCCAGACCAGAAGGGGTTACAGGGAGACCCTGTCTCAAAAACACACACACAAAATAAGAGTGTGAAATTCTCTAAAGCAGGATGTGCATATGTGCACGCAGGACACAATGTGAAGCTCCTCCTAACAGCCCCTTTGAAAATTGAATAGCACAAAACCACATGGACTGAATGTTGCTGTGAGGCAGCAACTGTATGATTACCTTTGACAAAAGCAACAAATTTGATGGAGATTTCCCAGGGAGACATCTAGCAGGGTTTTATTTTTTTTTTAATTTCTTTAATATGTTTATTTTATGTGTTATTTTTTTATGTGTGTATTGCCTGCATATAGGTAAGTGCACCAGTGTCCTGTACCCTCGGAGGTCAGAAGAGGCTGTCAGATCCCCTGGGACTGGAGTTACAGACAGTTGTTAGCTGCCATGTGGGTGCTGGGAATGGAACCCAGGTCCCCTGCAAGAGCTCTTAACCACTGAGCCATCTCTCCAGCCCCATAAAATTATATTTTTAGCTGGGCGTGGTGGTGCACACCTTTAATCCCAGCACTCAGGAGGCAGAGGCAGGTGGATCTCTGTGAGTTCAAGGCCAGTCTGGTCTATATAGTGATTTCCAGGACAGCTGGAGCTACAGGGAGACCCCGTCTCAAAAAGCAAAAAAAAAAAAAATTCATATATATAAATAATTAAAACAAAGCCAGGTGTGGCAGTATCTTTAATTCTAGCACTCAGGAGGCAGAGGCAGGCAGATCTCTGTGAGATCAAGCCCAGCCTAGACTACATAGTGAGGTCCAGGCCAGCAGGAACTGCAGGGAGACCCTACTCAAAAAGACAAATAAAGCCGGGCATGGTGGTACATGCCTTCAATCCCACCACTTGGGAGGCAGACACAGTCAGATCTTTGTGAGTTCCAGGCCAGCCTGGTCCACATAGTGAGTTCCAGGCCAGCTGGGACTACAGGGAGACCCTGTCTCAAAAAAGACAATTTAAAAAAAGAAATAAATAAAAACAAAAACAAAACACTGGGCTGGAGAGATGGCTCAGTGGCTAAGAATGCATAGTGTTCCTACAGAGTTCAGTTCCCAAACTCACATGGTAGCTCACAACCACCTGTATGTAACTCCAGCTCCAGAGGATCTGACATTTTTCTGGCCTCTGTGGGCACTGTACTCATGTGTACATACTCACACATACAAACATAATTAAAAATAAAAAAATAAACCTTACAACAGCAACAAAACCCCACCACTATTCCTAGAAGAAAGAGGATTAAAACACTCACTCCTGTGACAGCTTGGGAGTAACTTTTCATTTCATTCATAGTGGAGACCTAAAACAAGAAGAATACCAGAATGGATTACAAATTAATCAGTAAGTTAACTGTCTATAAGCATATCAATATATTCTATTTCTAAATATCACTTTGACAAGGTGAAAACTGTTTCAACATAAAAACATAAAATATATTGGGGCTGGAGAGATGGCTCAGCGATTAAGAGCATTGACTGCTTTTGCAGAGGACCCAGGTTCCATTCCCAGCACCCACATGATGGTTAACAACCATCTGTGGCTCCAGTTAACCACACCTGGCTTTCAAAACCTCTCAGGATCTCACCTCAGAGCACCTTAACATCCAGACTTCATGGCAGAATCTAGATACACCAAACAGCCGTCCTGTTTTTATTGTTTGCTCTAAAATTATGTATCAGTAAAAAAGTGATCTCCCCAAAGCCCTGAACAATGTTAAGGTTAGATCTACTGGGAAAACTCAGAACTCAGTCATACCTTAGGGACTTTCTAGGTGCATCCCTCTATAGCAAACAGCATGGTCACACCACCAGCCTTTGAAAACTCAGAAGATAACTTTTAGCCATATAATGTTCTGTCTGGCATGTAACAACTACCATCTCACTTTGAAGCTAAAATAGCTGCCAGGTGAATATAAAAGCCCACACCAGCACATCTTACCAAGGTCACAACCTACCCCACTGTCCAATGCATAGGTATTGACGAGGTAAGCCAGTGAGTTACAGAGCCACAAAGAAATGATGTCACCCAGGAGGCGAGGAATTAGACCCCTACATGAAAACACAATAAGAACCCAAACAAGATGATCAGTAAAAGAGATAATCCACTCAATATAGACTTCTCAAAGAATCAGATTTCAAAGCATTTTGGGCTGGAGAGATAGCCCAGTGGTTAAAAACACTTGCTGTTCTTCCAGAAGATGGGAATTCCAATCTCAGCACACACATAACAACCATCCTTAACTCCAGTTCCAGGGGATCAGACACCCTGACTTCTGTGGATATTGCACAACACACCCTCTTCTGACCTTCCTGGACAGTGCATGACACAGGTATACTTACATACATGCATGCAATACACTCATACACATGAAATAAAAGTAACAAAATACTAAAAAAAATAGTTCAGTCTCGTTAATGGCTGTACTAAAGGCTGACCTCAAATGACTTTTGTTCCCATTTTTAAAATGTAGGTCAGCTATAACCTTCTGAACTATAGCTAATTTTACTGTTAAAAACTATAATTAGGGAGGCTAAAGACTTGTAAGGTGCTTTGCAGATGAGACTTGATATGGCTTTATTTATTTAGTCTTTTTGAGACAGGGTTTCCTTGTAGCCCCAGCTATCCTAGAACTCACTATGTAGACCAGGCTGGCCTCGAACTCAGAGATTCACCTGCCTCTGCCTCCCAAGTGCTGGATTAAAGGTGTGTGCCACCATGCCCGGCTTTTATGGGGGTTTATTATTTTTTAATGTATATCAGGGTATTGCCGTATGTGAGTAAATGCCTGGCTAATATGGCTTTATTTTTATGTGTGTGTTTTGCTTGTATGTTTCTAAGTGTACCATGTACATGCAATGCCCAAAGAGGCCAGAAGAAGGCATCAGATCCCCCTTGGAACTGGAGTTTTGGATGACTATTAGCCACCTTGTGGGTTCTAGAAAATGAATACAGGTCCTCTCCAAGAGCAGCCAGTGTTCTTATAATTACTGAGCTACCTCTCCAGCCCCTTAATATAGTTTTCAAATATTCAAATTTGACAGGGCAAAAGATGAGAAAAAACAAAACAAAACAAAACAAAAAAACAAGGTGAGAATGGTCTAAATATAGATGTAGATGAGCCATCATGTTTCTAGAGGTTGGGGCTGTAACTTAGTTGAAGAGTACTTGCCTAGCATACATTAAACCGTGAATTTGATCCCTAGCACTGTACAAACTCAGTGAGGTAGTTCATGCCTGTAATCCCAGCACTCAGCAGAGAGGCAGAAGGATCAGGAGTTCAAGGTCATCTTTGGTTATACGGCAAATCTCAGGCCAGCCTGGAACACAGGAGATTGTTTCAAAAACAGCACTGACATTTATTTAAGGGCATTCATTTGTTGCCTGTTGCCTACTGATAAGGGGTAGAGCTGACATCAAGCTTTGTTTAGTCTACAGAGAAAAGTTCCCACTGTTCCACTAGTTCACCTAAACCCTGTAAACACGTATTTGTCTCATGCAGTTCAGGCTGGCATTGAACTCTCCACATAGCTGAGGATGACTTTGTACTCCTGATCCTCCTGCCTTCACCTCCCAAGCGCAAGGATTACACGCTTGTGCCACTTTGCCCAGCTTTATCTGGTGCTGGGGACTGAATTTACTCTATCAACTGTGTGTATCCCCTGCCCTGCCATTTTTTCTTTTTTTTTTTTTTTTTTGGTCTTTTTGAGACAGGGTCTCCCTGTAGCCCCAGTGGGCCCAGAACTCACTTGTAGACCAGGCTAGCCTTGAACTCACAGAGATCCACCTGCCTTTACCAACAGAGTGCTGGGATTAAATGTGTGCGCCACCATGCCCAGCCTGTCAGTGTTTTCTTAGTCTTTAAAATGGAATAAATAGGCTCCCACTTGTTTGCCAGAATACTTATGGTACCCCCAAAAGTGAGGCTAATGGGGCAACTAAGCAGTAGAGTATATGCAAAGACCTGTGCTCATCTAGTGCGACACACACACACACACACACACACACACACGAAACTGTGGAAACACTGAAAAATTTAAAGGGCCATTTTGCTAACCACAGATTTTGTTAGTGGAGTATAGTAGCTTAAACTCCTCCAAAGTCAAGTCTTGCAAAAACTTATTCACTCAGGATAAGAAAAATCCTGAGATTTTTGAGGCTACAGAGATGGCTCAATAGTTAAGCACACTGGCTGATCTTGCAGAGGACCCAGGTTTGATTCCCAGCACCCACATGGTGGCTAACAACTGTCTATAACTCCAGTTCCAGGAGACCCGGTGCCTTCTTCTGACCTCCGCAGGTACTGCATGACATAGGTGTACTTATACACATGTGGGCAATACACTCATACACATACAATAAAATCACTAAAAAAAAAAAAAGTACTATTTCCCTGATTTTCAAAAATTAATTTTTCTCATTTTTTAACTGCATAATTGGGAATTTATTGTAAAGGTATAAACTTCAAATTATTTGTTACAAAAAGCAAATAACCAAGGCTGAAGAAATGGCTCAGCAGTTAAAACCATGCACTGCTCTTCCAGAGGACCTGGTTCCCAGTTCCTAGCACCCACACTGGGCTAACTCAAAACTTCCTGTAACTTCAGCTCCCGTTGGATCTGATGCCTCTCTGGACACCTGCACTCATGTACACATAATTAAAAATAAAAAATAAAAAATAAAGGCATATGCCTTTAATCCCAGTACTTTTGAGTTCAAGGCCAGCCTGGTCTACATAAGAGTTCCAGGACAGCTGGGGCTACAAGGAGACCCTGTCTCAAAAAGACCAAAAAAAAAAAAAAAAAAAGGAAACAGCCAGGCATGGTGGCACATAACAACATAACATTTAGTCCCAGCTCTTGGAGGCAGAGGTAGAGGCGGGCTGATCTCTGTGAGTTCAAGGTCAGCCTGATCTACATAGTGAGTTCCAGGACAGCTGGGGCTATAGGGAGACACTGTATCAAAAAAAAACAAAAACAAAAACAAAAACAAAAAAAAAAAAACCACCAAGGGGATGGAGAAATGGCTCAGTGGTTAAGAACGCTGGCTGTTCTTGCAGAAGACCTGGGTTCATATCCCAGGATCCACATGGCAGCTAACAACTGTCTGTAACTCCAGTTCCAGGGGATCCAACATCCTCTTCTGTCCTCTGCAGGCACTGCACGACATGGGTGTGCTTACCTACATGCAGGCAATACACACATACACATAAAAAATAAATAGGCCGGGCGTGGTGGCACACGCCTGTAGTCCCAGCACTTGGGAGGCAGACACAGGCGGATCTCTGCAAGTTCAAGGCCAGCCTGGTCTACATAGTGAGTTCCAGGACAATTGGGGCTGCAGGGAGACCCTGTCTCAAAAAGACAAAATAAATAAATAAATAAAATAAAAAGAAACAAAGCTGGGTGTGGTGGTGCACGCCTTTAATCCCAGCACTTGGGAGGAAGAGGCAGGTGGATTTTTGTGAGTTCAAGGCCAGCTGGGGCTACAGAGACCCTGTCTTTAAAAGACAAAACAACCAAACAAACAAACAAAAAAACCCAAACTGAAACACCAAAAAAAAACAAACAAACAAAAATCTTCATCTGATTTCAAGCATATAAAGTATCTAGAGAAAAGCAAAGGTTTGGAATGTATACAATGATAAATTTCAGTCAGAGGGCCGTATAACAGAACTTATAAAGAAGTAAGCCCAGAGAGCACAAGGGTACATTCTTCCAGGCCCCAAAGACTCACTGCCCTTCTTTTCTAAAACAACACTTTTCTACCACCACAAAAATTACAGAAACAAACATTTACTCACGCAAAAAATCCTAGGACACCTTCTTCCCGATAGATAGTTAATATGGAGTCACAAAGTCCACTAGGCAGAAGAAGGAAAGGGAGACGACATTAAGATAAAGAGGAGAGTTCTAAAGAGCATGTTCAATAGTCTCTTTCGTGAGATGGGGTTTCACACACCCCAGGCTGGCCTAGAACCCTCTATGTAGCTGAGGTTGGCCTTAAAACTTCTGATCCTCCTGAATGCACCTCCCAAGTGCTGGGATTACAGGCATGAGTCACCACCACACTTGGCTAATTGATCACAAATTTGTAACTCCCTTCCCTCCCTTTTCTAGCACTCTCTCTCTCTCTCTCTGTATAAATAAACTCTGTTAGAAAATGTGAAAGATATTAACTACTAAAGGCATAATATACTTGGAAGTGAATTTGGCTTCACTGGCCTTATAACTTACTTTGTGGTCTCAGGTCAGGTTCCTAGCTTGGCCTGGGCTTACTTAGTCCTACTTTACTGCTTCTGGTGCAGGTCAAAAAACTTAACATGTATAAATTTGTAAATTCATGTGCAAATTATAAAGAATCATAGCAATGTAAAGTAGTAATGCACTATTTTGGTTTCGACAAATTTTTCTGTAGTTAAAAAAAAAATACTTACCAGTACTTAGATTCTCTGCCAATGAATTGTACCATAGATCTCAGAGTGATCACTGTAGAACAGAGAGAAAAGATTCCTTTTTTTTTTTTTCTTTTTGAGACAGGGTCTCCCTGTAGCCCCAGCTGTCCTGGAACTATGTAGACCAGGCTGGCCTCGAACTCACAGAGATCCACCTGCCTCTGCCTCCAGAGTGCTGGGATTAAAGGCGTGTGCCACCATGCCTGGCTGAAAAGATTCCTTCTTTAAAAACTAGATTAACGGGGTTGGAGAGATGGCTCAGCGGTTAAGAGCATTGACCGCTCTTGCAGTGGACCCGGGTTTGATTCCCAGCACCACATAGTGGCTACAAACCATCCTTAACTCCAGTTCCAGGGGTCCAATGCCTCTTCTGACCTCTGAGGCATTTCACAACATGGGTGCACTGACATACATACAGGCAGGCAATACACTCATACACATTAAAAAAAAAAAAAAAAAAACAAAACCCAAGATGCTGAAAAGATGACTCATTGGTTAAAAGCACTTCCTGCTCTTGCAGAGGATCCAGGTTCAGTTCCTAGAGCCTACATGAGAGATCACAACAGCCTGTAACTCCAGTTCCAGGGGATCTGATACCCTCTTCAGGCCTCTACAGGCACTGTATGCAGGTGGTGTACTTACATGCAGGTAAAACACCCACATACATAAAATATATTAAAAAATTTTTTTAAAAAAAGATAAACAGGCTGGGCATGTTGGTGCATGCCTCTAATCCCAGCACTTGGGAGGCAGAGACAGACAGATCTCTGTGAGATTGAAGCCAGCCTGGTCTACAAAGTGAGTTCTAGGCCAGCTGTAGCTACAGGGAGACCTTGTCTCAAAAACAAAGTGGACAGCACTGTCTTGCAAATTGTCCTCTCACCACCACACATGTACTGTGCCACTGTACACATACACACACAAAATGCTAAAAAAATTTTGTTTTAAATCTATGTTAAGCTTGGAGAGAAGGCTCAGCAGTTAAGAATGCCTGCTATTCTTGCATAGGACTAAAGTTTGGTTCCCAGCACCCACATCAGGGGGTTTACATCTGCCTAAAACTCTAGTTCCAGGGAATCCAACACTCTCTTCTGGCCTCCATGGACAGTGGCCATTCACAGACATACACAGAAATAAAAATCTACATTGAGCCAGGTATGGTGGCATATTCCTTTAATCCCAGCATTTGGGAGGCAGAGACAGGTAAGCTCTGTGAGTTCCAGGCCAGCCCAGTCTACATAGTGAGTTCCAGGTCAGCCAGGGCTACATAGTGAGATCAGTCTCAAAACAAATTTTTCTTTCCACCTAAAAATACTTTGCTACCTGGACAAAGTAGAAAAGAGCCAAACCAAGCAGTTAAAAATATATGCAAAGCACTATAGTCAACTTTGATGTCAAGCTGTCTAAATGCCCATGAGAGATCAAGTTATAAAATAAATACAAAGAGGTTAGATTATAGTTATCAATTGTAAACATACCGTGGAAGGGATGTGTGATGAGGGTAGCAGCAGAACGAGCGATCATCTCTCGGGTTGTCTAGAAACAACACACAGGTCTAAAATCTAAATAAACACTCAAATTCTGTAAGGGGGGGGTGGATACTGCAGTATGGACAGAAGCTCTCTTGCTTTAGTCAGGAAGCTATCTAGAACTGTGGAGTGTGATATTCTACCACTCTATCAGGCCTCTCATGGATCTCGATGTGCTGTTCTATTGACTGAAATTTGTGGCAATCTGAATGAGAAATATCCTCAGCTGGTCACCGTGTTTGGGGAGGCTTAGGAAATACGGCCTTGATGAGGAAGTATGTCACTGAGGGTGGGCTTTCAGAGTTCACAGCTAGGTCCCACTTCCAGTGTCCTCTCTGCTTGTGTTTGCCACTGGAGATGTGAGCTCACAGCTTTCAGCTCCTGCCACCATACCTACTGTGTGCTGCCTGGTCTCCTGGTCATGATGGACTCTTATCCCTCTGGAACCATAAGTCCAAATAAATTTCTTCTAAAAAAAAAAAATAAAGTAACTAGCCAGGTGTGGTGGTGCATGCCTTTAATCCCAGCACTTGGGAGGCAGAGGCAGGTGGACCTCTGTGAGTTCAAGGCCAGCCTGGTCTATACAGCGAGTTCCAGGACAGCTGGGGCTACAGGGAGACCCTGTCTCAAAAAGACAAAAAAGATTAAAAAAAAAAAAGAATACACTTTCTGCAAAGGAGATTTCTGCTATTTTTCCAATTTCACACACAAGACAAAAAAAAGTCAAGACAGAGGGTTACCAGCTGGAATAAAACTGTGTGGCCTGGATTCATTCACTTGGTGGTACTAGGAATTGAACCCAGGGCTTCATACATGCTAGGCAAGTAAGTGCTCTACTGCTGAGCTACACTACATTCCCAGCCCTCTTTTTAGTTTTTTTCATACAAAGTCCAAGTTGCTTCTGATCCTCCTGCCTCAACCTTGAAAGTAGCTAGGATTACAGGCCTGCTCTACCAGGTCTGGCTGAGGCCTATGTTTAGATTATTCAACTTCTCTCTCACTGTGAGTGATTTCAAAGAAACTGATATGTACACTAAATATTAGGTTCTACGTAAATACCAACATAGCAGGAGAACAGGACAATTTTGAGACCACAGTCCTGTAACTGTAGTCTTAGAGTTGCTGAGTGTACCCTAAGCTATCTTTATAGTCTATGACTCTGTAACAAAGCAATAAGGACAATTAAATTCCAATTCTTCAAAGTAGGGCCTGGGGTTGTAAATGTTTGTCATCTGCTTCATATCTGAGAGTGATTACCAGACCACATAATCAGATTACATGAGCTTTGCATCAAATTGCCTCCACCAATTCCTGTGTGAGAAAAGTCACTGAACTGACCCCATCATCATGTGTGGAAAAGGCAGGCAAGGGAGGCAACAGAGAAGAAGAAAAAGACTGACTTAGATGAAACCTGGTCAGAATCTGCACTTTGCAATGACAGATTAGAAACAGAGCTTCAGGGGCTGGAGAGATGGCTCAGTGGTTAAGAGCACTGACTGCTCTTGCAGAAGACTCAGGTTTGATTCCTAGTACCCACATGGTGGCTAATGGTCTATAACTCCAGTTCCAGGAGATCCGATGCCCTCTTCTGACATCTGTGGGCACTGCACCTACTTACATACAAGCATTACACTCATACACATAAAATGAAAATAATAAATCAAATTTAAAAAGAAAAAACAAGATACCTCTTCTCTATACTAATAGTAACTTAGAAGATCCTCTAGGGGGCTGGAGAGATGGCTCAGCAGTTAAGAACACTGGTTGTTCTTGCAGAGACCTGGGTTTGAATCCCAGCACCCACATGGCAGCTAACAACTGTCTGTAACTCCAGTTCCAGGGGATCTGACAGTCTCTTCTGTTCTCTCCGGCATTGCAGGTCACAGGTGCACTTATCTGCATGCAGGTAATACATGCATACACATTAAAAAAAAAAAAAAGGATCCTCTGGAACAGGATACGCTAACTATAGCATGTAAATACAAAGGCCTTATTATTATATCCCTATTTTTTTCTTTTTCTCTTTTGGTGGGCCTCAAACTCCTGGGCTCAAGTGGTCCTCTTGCCTCAGCCTTTTAAGTCTCAAACTATACATGTCCCTATGCCAAGCTTTGTACCCTACTGACTTCATAAAAATTTACAGAAAACATCTAATTTATCTTGACATCTAAACCTTTAGTAATGTCTGTTTGGAATAAAAGTGCTTTTTGAGAGTCTTGCTATGTGCTTCAGACTGGTCTTGAACTCACACTCCTGCCTCATGGAATAAAATACAAAAGCTTCTCTGGTCAAATAACATCCAAGATGAAAAAAGCCTGGCCCATTGAACACTTCTGTGCTACGTGTTCTCAACATCACTAAAAGATTTTCAGAGCTGGGCATGATGTATATCCCTATAATCCAAACATTCAGGAGGCTGAGGCAGGGGGAACCTGAGTTCAAGGCCAGTTTAGGCTACAAGCCAGGCCATATCAAAATAAATAACAAGAATAACAAAAATAAACACTGCTTCTTTTTTTTTGGGGGGGGGGGTTCTTTTGAAACAGAGTCTCCCTGTAGCCATAGCTGGCCTGGATTCACTATGGAGACCAAGCTGGCCTCCAACTCACAGAGACCTGCCTGCCTCTGCCTCCTGAATGCTGGGATTAAAGGCATGTGCCACCACGCTTGGCTTACATAGCAGCTTCTATTTTAAAGATAAAGTGAGTGAGCCTGAGCTGGGTGTGGTGGTATACCCCTTTAATCCCAGCATTCAGGAGGCAGAGGCAGGCAGATCTCTGAGTTGGAGGCCAGTCTGGTCTACATAGTGAGTTTCAGGCCTGCTGGAGCTACAGGGAGACCCTGTCTCAAAAAGACCAAAAAAAATAAATAAATAAATAAAATAAAATAAAATAGGGTGAACAAAATGAGCTTCCTTGAACAATTGTACCTACTCTGAACAGCAAGCACTGTTCCTCCCTTTAAGGTTATGTCTGTAAGAAAGTCCAAGTCAAATCGAAGGTTTAATTTCATTTGGGAACTGACTTGGAAGTACAAGACTTATGATCCAGACTAATTCCTACACAGCTTACAATTTGATCCAGGGAATGACAAGGGGTGAATTCACTGCTTACCTCTTTGATAACTTGGTCAAAGGAAGATGAGCCTTCCTTTTGCACATTTCCAGGTCCTGACTCCTGATAATCAAAAGTAAAATAGACCTGTTCAAACTGGTAGCCACTTCATAAACCAACATTCCAAAGAGATGGAAAGTAAACTACTTGAGTTTTTTTCATAAGAAGGCTCAAACCAAGTATTTTTTGGTTTTCTTTTTTTGGTCTTTTTGAAGCAAGGTCTCCCTGTAGCCCCAGCTGTCCTGGAACTCACTATGTAGACCAGGCTGGCCTTGAACTCACAGAGATCTGCCTGCCTCTGCCTCCTGAGCGCTGGGACTACAGGCGTGTGCCACCACGTCTGGCACAAAGGATAAGTTTTAAGGGAAAGGCTCACACATAGAAATCAGAAATTAACATACCTCAGGTTTTTCACACTCCTGATAATGCTAGAGAAAAATAAAAATAAAGGATAAGTAGGGCTATTATAATGTGTCCTGTGAGAAGGCATAAGATAAATACTGCATTGACAATAAAAACGCTGATTCTACTCCTGCAAATCTCCAATTTCTCCTCCAAATTAATCAACTGGAAATACATGTTGCTAATAAGATGCTATCGTTATGAAGTTTAACAAATTAGACGTCTGGAAGAATAGGCAAATGGTCCTGAAAACTCTTAGACTGGAGACAAGATCTTGCCATGCAGCCCCGGTTGCCCTTGAGCGGGTGGTAATCCTGCTTCAGTCTCCTAAGTATTGGCATTATGGACCTGTATTATCACACCTGATTTAAAAGCTTTTTTTTTAGATAATCTAGTCTAGCTTTAAACCCTATGTAAACCAAGGACGGCCCTGAACTTCTAATCCTACTGTCTCCACTTTACAAGTGCTGGGATTATAGGTATGAACCACCATACCTGGTTTATATTGTCCTGACATGAACTCAGGGCTTCGTACACGCCAGGCAAACATTCCAGCAACTGAGTTACATCCTGCCCCCTCCCAGCCCCACTTCTGAAGTTTTTTTTTTTTAAGTTTTCAATTCAATCCTCAGTACTATGAAGAAAAACAAAGGGGAGGGAAGGGGGAAACAGTAACAATAACAACCCCAAGAACATTATTTATTAAATAAAAAAATTTAATAGGAAATTGGTAAAAACATAGCCCAGGGTTCCTATTCTTCTTATGAAAAAAGCAGAATAAATACCAATTGGGGCAAGATGCTTTTCTTCACTAGACTAGCAAGAATTGCCTCTCAGCTTGCATACCTACAAATGCCCCATCTTTCCTTTTTATGAGACTATCTCCTCTTCTGGGGAAAAAAATACGAATGCCATGAAAGGCCAGATGTCCCCAGAAGAGGAAATAGGGCTTAGGTATATCTCAGAGATAGAAAACAGGCTAGGAGAGTGTAAAAGGGCCCAACAACTGCAGGCTTGGTATGCAACAACTGTCTCAATTACCCGCCCCCTTTCTCTTTGAGACAGGGTCTTACTATATAGCTCTGGCCAACCTGGCACTATGTAAACCAGGCTGGCCTCAAGCTCACAGAGACCTACCTATCTGCCCCCAAGTGCTGGGATTAAAGGGGTGTACCACCACACCTGACTTTGTCTAGGATTTTTTTTTTTTTTCCCCCGGTCTTTTTGAGACAGGGCCTCCCTGTAGCCCCAGATGACCTGGAACTCGCTACACAGACCAGGCTGGCCTTGAATTCACAGAGATCTGCATATGTGGAGATGTCACAGTGAAATCCATTAGTTTGAACAAGTAATATGATACAAATATAACTTTGGCCGGGCGTGGTGGTGCACACCTCTAATCCCAGCACTCGGGAGGCAGAGGCAGGCGGATCTTTGTGAGTTCAAGGCCAGCCTGGTCTACATAGTGAGTTCCAGGAAAGCTGGAGTTACAGGGAGACCCTGTCTCAAAAAAGACAAAAAAAAAAACAACCCCAAAACCCAAAATATAACTTTGATTGCCTTCAGAGACAGGCTCTAGCTGGTCTAGAACTCACTTTGCAACTTAGGCTGGCTCAACCTTCTCTAAGTTCTGGAATTACTGATGTAAGTAATGAAGCTGATGTTCTTTGTTGTTGTTGTTGTTTTGAGACATGGTCTGCCCAGGCAGGCTTCAAACTTCCTGCCCCCACCTTCCAGTGCTGGGATTAGGCTTGTGCACTCATGGGGTGTGTTTGTTTTTGAGACACAGTCTCCCTGTAGCCCCAGCAGGCCTGAAACTCACTATGTGGACCAGGCTGGCCTCAATCTCAGAGAATCCCATGCCTAGAAAGCTTATTGTTTAATTTTAATTTTTGGAAGGACAATATACATTTTATTTGCATCTGCCTTTACCCTGCATGTAAGATTCCCAGTGGAAGAAAGAGTAGTGGATCAGAATGTAGATGTATGTATAACAGTGGGGCCTGGTATCCTGAATAAGGGGCATCATGTGGGAACCATCCTCCCCTCCCTTCAGGGCATCTGGGAATCTACATAAATCTTATTTGAGACTAGACCACTCCTTCCTCTTCCCATGGTCTGGTCATGAGGAGACCAAAACTTTGCTCTTCAGCATTGCAGCTTCTTTTCCTGCTCTTCCCATCCCTAAAATTCTATCCCTGGGGATACCTATAACCTCCTACCCAAGCCTCTTTGTAGAAGTCTCCTTACCACCCAGGCTTGTGTAACACAGACTACTGACAGCCAACAATGCCAATGATCCCAAGGCCCTCCCAGTTGGTGGTGGCTTAGGGCACAGAGTAGGCATGAGTGCTTTATCTGTGTTAGGGATAGAAGGGACACTGTGATAGGATGTGAGGATGCACAAGAGTTTGGGGTATGTCTAAAAGAATGGGCAGAAGGCCCAAGAAGTCAAAGACACGGACTCATTCATCACAGAAGTCCCATGGGCTCCAGAATGGAACATGTCCTTTCATAGCTGTCCTGAGATTCACTAGCAGTCCCTTTGTCTTCAGTTCCTAAAGGCTTTTCTGCACATCTGGGATCATAGATGTCTCCCAGGCCAACTGCATGTATGTATCCAGGGGACCTGAGGCATAGCTCAGCACCTGCACACTAGGTTTCTGTGTTGCTAGGACCAGAAATGTCACATCAGAGGCAGGTTTCTGTGCACAATACAATGCCTAGCCCTTGAGAAGCTGTAAGGCACAAAGAGATGAAAATGTTAACTGTGGTCCTAGTGAGGTCAGGCCTGTCCTGGAACGCTGGATGCTAGAGGTCTGGCAGAGGAGAGGGGTCAAACGTAGAACTTGGGAACCATTCACTTCAGCTGGGTCACTAAAGTTCACAAAACCTCTGGAAACATCACACATGTTGATGTGGAGTAGCTACAGCCCCTCCAGCCTGGGATGCTCAAGTAGAGTGCCTAAAAGCTGCTGTAAGCCAGTATCTGAAGCCAGGTGGGCAGGTGCCCAATACTATTAATCTGCCTGGTGTCCAGCTGTTGCAGCACTTCATCACTATGAGCGCTTGGGAGCAACCCTGAGCCAGGAGACAGCAGCCAATTGGGACTGGCACTAAGGAGAAGATGCAAGAAGCCCCTGCCAAGTGTGCCTAAGACCACCTTCCTTGCCATGGCCACCTTCTATGTAACCAACCTCTACTAGTTGGCACCAGAACTCAGGAATATGAGAGGCGTGAATTCAGGTCCAACTCCACTGCAGTACTGAGCCCTGGGACTTGATGCTTGCAAAAACATTTTACAAAACTTCTCAAACATACAAAAAAAATAAAAAACTAACCTACGTATCTACCACCAAGTCATAATGCCCTTTAAGGGGTGGGCACTATAGTGTACTGGCTACTAGTGACCTATATCCCAGGTCCTGGCAACAGAGGAACTTAGTGTGAAGGTACTGACCTATGTATGCCCCAGGTGGTCTGGTCATATGCAGCAGTTGGTCCAGGAAGCCTCTAGAAATCCATTACGATTGCCATTTTTTTTGCTACAGATAAAGCTTAAGTTCTACTTAACTGTTCCCTCTCAAGAATAATCCTGCATTGATATACAAATTGATCAGTTTTTTTTTTTTTTTCAATTTTAAAAATTCATGCTGGGCATGGTGATGCACGCCTTTAATCCTAGCACTTGGTGAACAAAACAGAAACATACAGGCAGAGGCAGGTGGATCTCTGTGAGTTCAAGGCCAGCCTGGTCTATACAGTGAGTTCCAGGACAGCTGGGGCTATAGGGAGACCCTGTCTCAAAAAGACCAAAAAAAAAAAAAAAAAAAAAAATTCATGCAATGAGCCTGGTGTGGTGGCACAGGCCTTTAATCCCAGAACCGTAGGACTGTAGGAGGCAGAAGCAGGTGGATCTCTGTGAAATGGAGGCCATCCTGGTCTACATAGCAAATTCAAGGTCAGCTGGGGCTATAGAGAAACCCTGACTTGTTAAAAACAAAAACAACCAAAAAAAAACCCAAATAAAATTCAAATAAATTAAAATTCAGGTGATGAACACATACACAGGGCTGGGGAGATGTCTCAGTAGGTAACTCTTGCTGCACAGGGATTTTAGTTCTAATCCCAAGAACCCATGTAAAGCTGGGTCTGGCAGCATCCATCTGTAATTCCAGTGATCTTACAGAGAGATGGAAGGTTGAGACAGGAGAATCCCCAGAAGCATGTGGGCCAGCTACCTAGTGTATGTAGAGTGAGCAGAGACCCTGTCTCAGGCAAGGTGGAAGAAGGCAGGACCAACACTAGAGGTGACCTCTGACCTCCCCATGTATGCTGGGGCACATGTGTACCCAGAGTCACATAAACATGCACACACATCACACACCACAGAAAACAACAAAAAAGACACATATAAGGAATAGTGAACAAAACAGAAACATACAGTAAGGCAAGCAGTCATACAGCCAGACCCTACATTTAGAACCTTTCTTCCTCTTCGAGTTTTTTTTTAAGGTGCCAGAGAGTGAAACCAGGGCCTTGTACATGTCAGACAAACACTCTTTCACCCAGGCTATTAAGCATTTTTCTTTCTTTGTTATAACTTTTTTTGTTTTTCATCTTTTTGAGAGATGGTCTCTCTGTAGCCCCAGCTGGCCTGGAACTCACTATGTAGACCAGGCTGGCCTTGAGCCCACAGAGATTCACTTGCCTCTGCCTCCTGAGTGCTGGGATTAAAGGTGTATGCCACCACACCCAGCTTTTAAACATTTTTTGTTACATTTAGTTGCATGTCTCTGTGTGCAAGCCATGGCATGCATATGGAGGTTGGAGGACTCCAGGAATCTCTTCTCTCCTTCCACCATGTGGGTCCCAGCTCATCATGCTCAGCAGCAAGTGCCTTCCCCTCTGGAGCCACCTCACTCATGCTTGCTTGCTGGCTTTTTCAGACAGCCTCATGGAGCCAGGCTGTCCTATAACTCAGTATGTAAATGAAGTTGGCCTTGAACTCCTCACCTCCCAAGTGCCCAGCATGTGTCTGCATGCCTAGCAGCAGCTGCCACTTCTTTTTTAATATTTTTAGTAGAAAATGTTTCACTAAGATAATACTAATTAGAGAGCTGGGTATGGTGGCTCACGCCTTCAATCCCAGCACTTAGGAGGCAGAGGTAGGTGAATCTCTGTGAGTTCAAGGCCAATCTGGTCAAGACAGTGAGTTCTAGGACAGCTGGGACTACCCTTTCTCAAAAAGATACACACAAACCTGCAAAAAAAAAAAGATAATACTAATTAGAATAGTAGTAAAAAAAACTTGAGGGGCTGGAGAGATGGCTCAGCGGTTAAGAGCACTGACTGCTCTTGCAGAGGACCTGGGTTTGATTCCAAGCACCCACATGGTGGCTACAAATCATCCTTAACTCCAATCCCAGGGGAATCCAAAGCCCTCTTCTGACCTCCGTGGCATTGCACAACACAGGTGCACTCACATACATAAAGGCAATACACTCATACACATAAAATAAAAATAATAAATAAAATATTTTTTAAAAAAACTTCAGAAAAACTATGCTCTTTTCTTCTGAAAAAAGTAAGTTGAACTGCACAAGTAAATGCAATTAATTTCAGAATGAGTTTTAGAGGAAGACAGTCATGTAGATGAAAACCACTTACTTCACTCTGCACAAATATCCCTTGTTTCCTAAGGAACAGTAGGTATTTGAAGGAATTGTTTTCAAAGCACAGGGGCAACCACTTGTAATGCTAGCACTCAGAAGGCAGAAGTTAAGGCCAACCTGAGCTTCTAAGCAAGTATGAGGCTAACTATACTTCATAGAGAGACCCTATCTCCAAACAACCGGCCAACCAATAGAAAATGTCTTCCAAGACAAGGGTCTTCCAAGAAATGCCAGGGTTATAAGTTTATCTTTGAAACTATTCAACAGAATAAACTGTCCACAAAGGGCAATCAAAATATTTAAGATTAGCTGATTTCCTCTTACCTGTAAAACTTTACCATGGACCACAGTTCCAAGGACTCCTGAACACAGTCTTGGAGTTAAGCCTGTGAACAACCCACGCCTCCCATCGATGCTTGCAATGTGCTGAGCTAAGAACACAAATCAGAGATTTAGGTTCTAGTCCAAAAACATGGTTACAAAGAATTTTGGGGGGGGGGTATTTTTGAGACAGGGTCTCCCTGTAGCCCCCACTGTCCTGGAACTCACTATGTAGACCAAGCTGGCCTTGAACTCACAGAGATCCGCCTGCCTCTGAGTGCTGGGATTAAAAGCATGCACCACCACGGCTGGCTACAAAGAAATTTTAAGGCAGCATGCCTTCTAAGAGTTTCCTTTCAGTAACTCTAGCTTGTCTTCAATGTAATCCAATCCCAAATAAATCAAAAGCACCTACCATAACAAAAGAGACCAGGAAGCTGACATATTTGCCGCCCAAAAATATTTCGTCCTATTGTTGGAGGAAGAGGCTCATATCCCACCTTTAAAAACAAAGGAATACATCAATACTAAGCAATACTCCAGGAATACCTTGGCTGCAAGGTCTTGAATAAAGAACAAAACCAGGCTTATACTTTTGTGTTTGAGGTACTGGGACGAGAACACAGGTCCCTGTGCATGATCACTCCATCAGTGAGCTACACCCTTAGTTCCTAGAGTTCTAATTAAGAAAAAAAAAATTTCTAATAGACAAAGTCTCACTATGTAGCCTGGCTGCCCCACAGAGACACACCTGCCTCTGTCCACAGAGTGCTAGGATAAAAGCATACTGCCACCACACCTGTCCTAAAGATTTTTAAGTTATGTGTATATGTATGTGTATATGTACATGTGTGGTGCCATGAAGGCCAGGAAAGAGTGTCAGATCCTTTGGAATTGGAGTTTACAGGTAACTATGAGCCATCTGATATGGGTGCTAAGAACCAAACTATGGTCCTCTGGAAGAGCAGTACATGCTCTCAACTGATGAGCCATCTCTCTGGCATCCCCAGGCTTATCATTTTTTAATATAAATGAAAAGCAGTTTATGTTTTCTAAGGCAATGATCAAGTCTTTTGTTGTCAAATTAAAGCTGGGTTCAAAGAACTCCAAGTTGCCCTTTAACTGAGATAGATTATCAAACAGAAAGTAGAACAAGGGAACCACTATATTAGTAAAGCCACAGTTTACTGTTAAGTCAGCAAGTGTTTGCTATAGCTTTTTTTTTGGTCTTTCTGAGAGCATTTTTTTAATATTTGAAAATATGAGAAGACAAAGTCACTAAGCCAACATGAACTGCCTATTTGGCTAACTCACAACTAAAGTAAATGCAGATAGCTGGATAATTCACTTAGGAAATAATTACAAGCTAGGCCCACATTAAATGTATAGACTCGTTAACAATTTACTGAAAGTCATAAAATTAATGATTGCCATTTTATTTGTAGAATACATTTAGGAATTTTAGGGGCTGGAGAGATGGCTCAGCAGTTAAGACCACTGACTGCTCTTGTAGAGGATCTGGGTTTGATTTCCAGCACCCACATGGCGCTACGAACTGTTCTTAACTCCAGGTCCAGGGGAATCCAGAGCCCTCTTCTGACCTCTGTGGCACTGCACGACACGGCTGCACTCACATACATGCAGGCAATACATTCATACACATAAAATAAAAATAAAAAATAAAATAAAAAAAATACATTTAGGAATTTTAATGCCAACAGGATATTTGAGGGAATGCATTCTGTAGGGCATTTTGACTCTCTGGTTGCAATTCCTTCTTCTGTGCTGATACACCCCTCTGAACACCCTCAAAGTGCTACCTACCATGCAAATACTTTTAAAATGGAATTACTTGGAAATTTTACCAAAATCCCTGAGCACTTGGCAACACACAGATATTGTGAAATCAGAATTTAGGATATTCAAGTTTCTGAGGTAAGAGCCCTGAATATCATGAAAAAATAGTGTCCTTCTAAAAACTATCCAATAGTGACATGTACTTATCCATGGAATCTAGGCCCAAATGTGTCAATTCTGTTTTAGACATCACAGATTTCAGTCTCTGAAGTCTAACTTTTACATGGAGAATCTGAAACTACATGGGTCAACTGGACAATTTATACTAGTGACAATTCAAAAAATGTGGACCATACTAGTGTCTTACAATATTTTTTACAGAAAGGTAGTCAGTGAGGAGATTCTAAAACCTGCTTTCTTCCTTGGCACAATGCGTTAGGTCGTGATGTCAACCTTCAATAAATGTTTTTAAAAATGGCTTGCTCATCACAGGGAAACTTAGAAAAACAACAGACAATACTATCCGCCTAAATCTGGCCTCCGTACCCATGAATATAAAATGCCACTTATGAACTATTCTATAGATTAGAAAACAAATCAAAGGGAAGCAAGAGAGACATCCGGGAGCTTGATGTTTAAACTTGCAAAAACTCAACAACTGATTTCCAGCTCAGACTCACAAGATTTTCACTGTCACGAACCACATGGGCTGCGGCTGTGAAAGCTTTCAATGGATTCTTCCGAAAATTGACTTCATTATCACTTCTGAATAAGGTCCTTGTGTGTATTTGGGTATCTGGAGCTAAAAATCTCTGAATGGACCAGAAGCAGCAGCAGCAGCAGCAAAAAAAAAAAAAAGACAAGCGAATAAAAACACTTCTCATCTGTCCCGTCTTGGGTTTGGAGGTCTTTCCCGCGAAGCAGGGAGGACCAGAGGCGGCGAATATCCACTTCAGAGGGGAGATGGGGAGAGGGTCAGGAAGCTCGCGGTGGCGACGGGAAGGAAAACCCGAGTTGAGCAGAGCCACGGAGCAGGGCAGAGTGACAGTTGGCTGCGGGAGAGGGAACGGGGCCCAAAGCCGAGAGGACTAGAGCCCGTGGGAGGCCCACGCTGGGGGCAGCGACGCCGGGGCAGCCCAGTTTCCGGGGCAGAGAACGGCGGCATCACAGGCAGGGAAGGCCTGTGGACGCGGGGACCGACCCTCAGGGCACCCAGGGCGGCGGCGTGACCAGACGCCGTGGGGAAAGGCAGGGCGACGACTCCTACCTGGATGAGCACTTTCACGTACATAAGCGGCTGGGACAGTATGGTGAGACCGGAGCCCAGGAGCACCTGACTGGCCGCGTCCGCCATGATGGCACCCGCGGACGAACGGACGGACGGAGGGAGCCACCAAGCTACACAGTCCCTACCAGATCACGTGCCCGAGCCGCCGGCTTCACCGATCCCCGGCGCGCACGCGCACGCACGCACTCACCGCGCGCGCGCCGACGGCCCAGGCCCCGCCCACTTCCCCACCCAAAGAAACGGCAGGCGCTTGCGAGCCAGCTGGGGGCGGGGCGGGGGTCCCAGACGCGCATGCGTCTTGGAGTGGGCGTCACGTCCTCCACTAGGTCAGTCGATTTGTCTAACGCGTGCGCAGGCCGGAAGTGTCCTGGAGAAGTCGAGAGGGTGTAGTCATGGAGAGGTGTGACCCTGACAGCAAAGGCAAGGTCAAGGGAAGAGCTTCTTCCATAATTCGCCCTCACTTAGGCATCCTGGACGGCGAGTTCGGACGGACTTTCGCATTAGACTTTCAAAAGAGTCTCATGCCTAGTGTGGCATGCTTTAATGAATCCTCCGGGTTGCTGTCTTTGCATTTTGCGTTAACGTTACCTAATATTTCTGTTCTCAGAAACGTATTATTTTATCTTCCTTCCTTCCTTCCCTCCCTCCCTCCCTCTGCCTGCATGTATGTAACTGCACCCATGTGGTGCAATGCCGGCAGAGGACAGACGAGGACATTGAATTCACCTGGAACTGGAGTTACAGACTGTTAACCTGCCAGGTGGATGCTGGGAACCAAATCTGGGTCCACTGCAAGAGCAGCCAGTGGTCTTAATTGCTGAGCCATCTCTCCAGCCCCAGAAACATCTTCTTGAGGACTGGGGATGTAGCTTAGTGGTAGAGAACTTGCCAAGCATGTACAAAGCCTCTGGGTTCAACCCTCAGTACTGGAAAAAACAGCAATGCCAAAAAAATCTGCCTTCTTTGAACCCTATAAATTCACTTCATTTCCTGCTGGTTGCCAGGTCACCTATCACTGGAAAATGGTCTCCACTGGAGTGTCAACTTGGTTGAGTTCGAGAACCGAGGTGGCCTTTGTTCACAGTTGTATTTGTAGAGCCTGGTGTGTACCAGATGCTCAATAGTTATTACACAGATGAAAAAATATTTCAGTGCCAACTCCATGGGTTCCATAGGTTGTTAGAAGGAAAAGTGAAAAAGCCATTATTCCTACCCTTCATGGTCCATGTCCAACAGGTGGTGTAGGCATTGTGTGACACAAGAAGATGTACCAAGAAAAGAATTGCATTTGGGGCTGGAGAAGTGGCTAAGCCCTTAAGAACTTCCCCTCTTCCAGAGGACCAGAATTCCCAGTACCCACGTCAGGAGGCTCACGATTGCCTGTGATTCCAACTTAAGTGGATTTGATGCCCTCTTTTGGTCAGGGAGGTCACCTACAGACATCTATGGATACATAAGTTTTTAAAAACTTAAGAAAAAATAATTACATTTGGATCATGGCTATTTTTTTGTATCCATTGGTCACCTCTTTCATTTTCGGTGTTTATAGCTACACCTAAGGATAACATGACTGCTTACCTCTCAGGATTATTACGATCATTAAATTGTACATAGAGATTTTTTTCTGAAAATTTTGTTGAAAATGAGTTCTAATATTTGTTCTCTATTCAGCACAGAACTAGCTGATATTGGGAAGTAGTTTGTATGTCAGAGGCACGTGGTTTGAAGTCCAGTGGATCTGATCCAAAGTCTGACTCTTCCAGTTACTTATGTGACTGAGTGCAAGTCATATTACCTCTTTAACTGTAGGCAGATGAATATAGTAATGTCCAATTCATGATGTTATCTCCAGGAATGAATAAAGTAATGTATCTACCCAGTGGGCACACACACAGAGATAAAGTAGCAAAAGGGAAAAAAAATAAAAAATATAATACCAAATGGTAGCTTTTAGAATTATAAGAAACTTACAAGCTGCTCTTAACCCAGAAATTTTTCAACATCAATCAGAGCCAGAGAGGTCATCTGGTAAGGGAGGTTGCGCACTAGCGGTACCAAAAAAAGATTCATTACCTGTGTCCCACTGTTGTGAGAGGCACAGAGACTTGCAAGGGTGGATGGCTGGGCAACTGAGGCTGCTTTACAACATTCTTGAATGGTTCAGGGCAGAAGCTGCCCATGAAGTTTTGAGAAGACTGCAGAAGGAAAGGAAACTGAATTATAGATAAGAGAACTGTACACTGAAAATGGGCCATTCATAAAGACTATGGGTTTTGTTTTGCTTTTGTTTTTTGTCTTTTTGAGACAGGGTCTCCCTGTAGCCCCAGCTGTCCTGGAACTCACTATGTAGACCAGGCTGGCTTTGATCTCACAAAGATCCGCCTACCTCTGTCTCCCAAGTGCTGGGACTAAAGGCGCGCACCACCATGCCAGGCCAAGAAAATGAGTTTTTTGTTGTTGCTGTTATTTTGGTTATATATATATAAATTTGTATGAGTGTATTGCCTACATGTATGTGAATGCACCTGTGTCATGCAGTGCCTCTGAGATCAGAAGAGGGTGTCATATTCCCCTGGAACTGGAGTCAAGGATGGTTCGTAGCTGCCTTGTGGGTGCTGGGAATCAAACTCAGGTCCTCTGCAAGAGCAGTCAGTACTCTTAACCACTGAGCCATCTCTCCAGCCCCTATTTTGGTCTTTTTTGAGACAGGGTCTTACTCTGTAGCCCTGGCTGGCCTGGAATTTGCATTGTAGACCCAGTTGACCTTGAACTTACAGAGCCCTGTCAGCCTGCTGTGCCTCCCAAGTGCTAGTATTAAAGGCTTGCACCACCAGGCACAGCTTTATGGATTCTATTTAATAACTTATAATCAAGTTGTGAGAAGAAGAAAAGTCAAAAGGAGAGAGAACCAGTGAGCACAGTGACACAGAAGTCAAGACAAAAGTTTAGAAAAGAAAGGGATGGTGAATAATACCAAAGCTACCCAGACCGGAAATAATGAAGCCCACGAAATGGATTTACCAGTTAAAACACATCTGGGCTGGGAGGCAGTCTAACCTGGGAGAGATCGAAGTAGTTCTGTCACTTTCTAGGTGACCTTGATTAGGACAGTCAACAGCTTGGTGCTTGAGTTGGTGTAAATAAACCATCCTTGGGACTCAGTGGTTAAGAGCACTGGCTGTTCTTACAGAGGACCTGGGTTTGAGTCCCAGCACCCACATGGCGGCCAAAAAATGTCTGTAACTTCAGTTCCAGGGGCTCTGACACCCTCTTCTGATCTCCGCAGGCATGGCACGACATGGGTGCACTTATACAAATGCAGACAATACACTCATACACATAAAATAAAAATAATAAAATAAGATGAAAACTTTTTTTAAAAAACTATTAAAAACTACTTAGAAGTCCTTAACTTTGAAAAATTTTAGAAGTTGCCTGGTAGTCTGTGTTTGCCTTGCTTTATATTTCTTCCTAGCCTTCATTACCTATCAAATTGCTGTATTGTTTGCTTTAAAATTTTTTCTCTTTGTGCTGGAGAGATGACTCAGCAGTTAATAGCACTGGCTGTTCTTGCAGAGGACCGGGTTCATTCCCAAGAGGACAGGGCTTTTTGCCTCTTTTTGTGTGTTTGGTTTGGTTTGTGTTTTTTTAATTTTTAAGACAGGGTCTCACTATGTAGCCCTGGCTGGCCTGAAACTGGCTATGTAGACCAGACTGGCCTGGAACTCACAGGAATTCACCAGTCTCTGCCTCCTGAATGCTTCTGAGATTAAAGGTATGTGCCATAATGCCCAGCTAATTTTTGTCTCTTTGTTGTTGTTTAGTACTGTATTTCCAGTGCCAGGTACACAGTAGGTGCTCAATAAGTATTTGTTGGAACAATGATTCCAGTGGAAGCCCATAAAATTTTCTAAGAGGTAGGTGAGTATCCACACCCTTCCAAATCCAGCCTGCACATGCTGCTCTGGGTATGTCCTGTTAACTAGATGAGATTATACATCACACAGAACTCTTTCATTATGCCCTTTCTAAACCGACTTTGTGTCTCAACTAAAATATTGTTTCCTACCAAAAAAATCTGTGAATTTTATTATATATTGACTTAATTATGATTTTCTTGGTGCAAGTAAAATCCCACCCCAAATGGTTAGGCGTAAGAGTGGGAGGAAGAGAATTTATTGATTTATAGAAGTAGGCTGGCCTCAGGCATGGCTGGGTCCAGGGATTTTAAAAGACAGTACCTGGAATCAACCTCTCGAAGTTTGGCTTTCTTTGGCTTTATTCTCAGATAGTATGGCTCCTCAAGGAGATCTGCTTGTACCTCCCAAGTTACAATGTCACAATTTTAGGACCAAAGGAGTCACTCTCAACACAGAATTCCTAACAAATATCCTGGGGGGCGGGGCTCTGGCATGAATTGCATACATGGTTCTTCTGAACTATTGGTTGTAATCCAAGGATGGACTATGCAGTTTACTTTGGCCATGGGTCCCAGGCCCTCCCTCAAAGATATACTGGAATATACAACCTACTGCAGAGTCTACCCAAAGTGTGTAATTGAAAGTGACAGTTTTGAGGCTGGAGAGATGGCTTAGCAGTTAAGAGCACTGACTGCTCTTGCAGATGATCCAAGTTCAATTCCCAGCACCCACATGGTGGCTATGAACTGTCCTTAACTCCAGTTCCAGGGGTACTCATTGCCCTCTTCTGACCTCTGTTGCATTGCATGACATGATGCACTATGATGCTTAGCTAGCATCTCAAATTTTTAGAACAGGTTACAGCTGCCAGGATTTAATATTTATTATTTTATTTTATTATCATAACAACCTAGTACAGTGATCTGGCAGGGGATCTTTTCTGGTTTTCATTATTTTTATATAATATATTTATTACATTTTTATTTATTTTGTGGGAGGATACAGGTGTACCACAATATGTGTGTAGGTCAAAGGACAACTTGCAAAAATTAGTTCACTCCTACCAAGTGTGTTCCAGGGATCAAACTCAGGTTGTCAGCTTGGCAGCAAATGCGTTTGGCCATTGAGCCCTGTTAATGGTCCAAACCTGTTGTTTTGTTTTTGTTTTTTATGAGACAGGGTCTTGCTGTGTAGCCCAGGCTGGCCTGGAGCTTGCTATGTAGAACAAGCTGGTCTTGGGTCACAAACATATGGCAACTCTCCTGCTTCTATTCCCAAGTGTTGGGATTATATGCATGAGCTACCAAGCCCAACTCTCTCTCTCTC